AGCTGCAAAATAAAAGCATCGTGTATTTCCGTGGAAAAAAATCTTTATTTAAAAGCACTTTGATTTTATATCTTCAGATTTATAAATCGGGCGTACACAATTTTTAAATTATGATTACACGCATCTTACAAATATCGCTGGAAAATATAAAACTTTCGCATTATAATATTAGGCATTAAATTATATTATCGTATAATAATTTAGCAGTTGAATGAAAGGTGGATGATAGGAAAAGATAAAATACTTGAATAACCTTATAAGTCAATTGAATTAATCTTAATATTTTGAAACTAAGAGCAGGAAAACTGTACAATATTTGATTAATCGTAGTAGAAAATGAAATAAAAATCGTTGTATGAAATGGAAAGAAATTGAGACTACACAACATCCATTAAGTAAAACTTGACGATTGAAAATGGCGAGAGATATTAATATTGTAAGGTATAATAGAGAAAAATGTTTGTAGTGAAAATTTTCAATTTTAATCGTGCATCGATAAGCAAATATTAAATTCTATAGTTCATATAAACTTTAAACTTGCATCATCCACTCACATAAGTGCAGAGAAAGATTAATCTTTTGTAATAATTAATAATAATACAATAAAATGTATCGCATTTATTTTAAATAATAATGTAATGAAAAATAATATCACAGAGAGAGAGAGAGAGAGAGAGAGAGAGAGAGAGAGACAGACAGACAGAGAGACACACACAGACACACACAGACACACACGCTTTAATGGTATTAATAATATTTAATTTCTAATTCATATTAGCAAGCAAACATAAAAATATTTAAAAAATCGTTTCTGTATTATTTTGATTATAATGTTCGTATGTTCGTTATTTTCATTATTGTTGTTGTTGTTGTTGATTTTTGTAATGTAATGGAACTGTTGGGTAAAGGCAAGATGTAAAGCCTTTGGAGAAGAAGAAGAAGAAGAAGAAGAAGAAGAAGAAGAAGAAGAAGAAGAAGAAGAAGAAGAAGAAGAAGAAGAAGAAGAAGAAGAAGAAGAAGAAGAAGAAGAAGAAGAAGAAGAAGAAGAAGAAGAAGAAGAAGAAGAAGAAGAAGAAGAAGAAGAAGAAGAAGAAGAAGAAGAAGAAGAAGAAGAAGAAGAAGAAGAAGAAGAAGAAGAAGAAGAAGAAGAAGAAGAAGAAGAAGAAGAAGAAGAAGAAGAAGAAGAAGAAGAAGAAGAAGAAGAAGAAGAAGAAGAAGAAGAAGAAGAAGAAGAAGAAGAAGAAGAAGAAGAAGAAGAAGAAGAAGAAGAAGAAGAAGAAGAAGAAGAAGAAGAAGAAGAAGAAGAAGAAGAAGAAGAAGAAGAAGAAGAAGAAGAAGAAGAAGAAGAAGAAGAAGAAGAAGAAGAAGAAGAAGAAGAAGAAGAAGAAGAAGAAGAAGAAGAAGAAGAAGAAGAAGAAGAAGAAGAAGAAGAAGAAGAAGAAGAAGAAGAAGAAGAAGAAGAAGAAGAAGAAGAAGAAGAAGAAGAAGAAGAAGAAGAAGAAGAAGAAGAAGAAGAAGAAGAAGAAGAAGAAGAAGAAGAAGAAGAAGAAGAAGAAGAAGAAGAAGGAGAAAAAAAATCAAATTACCCACTGTGGAATGAATGCGGTTTGGTGTAATGTGGCCTTAAAGCAAGGCAAAGAGAATGTATTACATTAGCAAATAATGTTGGGCTTATTGCAAAAGATGCATCATAAATTTAAATAATGAGACTAGAAGAATATCAACTCCTGATATTTTGATGGATTACCTTGATTTTGATGGAGCTAGCCTGGCAGACATTTGCTTACAAAAGTAATGCAAACTTTACGAATGTCATCATATTAGCATTGATAGCGTTTCTACATGTGCAACAATAGGCACGTAGTGACGCATAAACCGTACACGCGCGTTCCACTTTTTCAAACATTTTTCGCACGAAAATCTCCGCTCTAATCGTTAATCTACGAGCATATTTTTTAAGAGGAGCAGGCAAGTGCAGCATAATATACTTAATACGCCATTCTTGCATGTGATTATTCTCGGATATTAGATTTTAAATTAGACGGTATTCCGCAAAAAGTTGGAAAAAACGAGGACGCTGAAATTTAGTACCATCGAGGACAAACAAAAGCGGTCTGCCAGGAGTGTTCTCGTCTCGACCGCCAAATTAAAGTGTAAAAGAGCGGCAGAAGTGACGAGTCTGTTTACTGATTGTGCAATGGGAGGAGGGTGAGAGTCGGCCGAGCGGAGGACGGCCATGACGAAGGGGAGGAGGAAGTCGAGCAGCGGCGAAAATCCTGTAGGGAGAAAGTAAACTCGACGCCGGGAGGCTGAGGATAGAAGTGCTCAACGGCGTGGAGGGTTGAGCCGTCGCGTGCACCTGGACTTTTAAAGTCCAATTCCCGCGAGGACCGCCGATATCCGGAAGTGGGCGGCGTTACTTTGGCGAGGCGCCTGCATCGACCCTTGGCTGGGCCGGACGAACTACGCGCCGCGTCAATGTGATAGAGCGAGATGTTCGAATTCGGGCCGAGCACGAAATACGAAATGTGGATTACCGCGGGCATTTTGTCAATGTTAAGTTGGTTGATCTCACCGAGCGCCGGCCAACTTTCTTTCCGGAGATCGCGAGGATTTCGATCCGTGAAAATCGGAAATGTTTTTCCCTCGCGACACGCCTTGTTTCACACGTGAACACGCGCACGCACACGCCCATGCACACGCCCCTGCACACGCACACGCATATAAGCGCCCGCGCGCACACACACGCACGCACGCACGCACGCACGCACGCTCTCGCTCTCTTGGTTGCTCTGCCGGCTTCCGTTTCTTTACGGAGCTTGTAACGCTCGACATATTTATTTCGAGTCGTTGTGCGCTCGTTTGTAGCTGCAGCTCTAAAAATAATTGATCGATGCTTAATTTCCCCCCCCCCCCCACCCCACACACCCTTTGCGCGACCGACTGAAATAAGGCTTCGACATTATCGGCAAAACGCCGAAGAGGGGACGAATTTTCATAGTCCTTCCTTTTCATCGATGTCTCTCGCTTGATTGGAAAACTTCTCACCACTCATCAGCCGCTCCGTCGATATTTGCGATGGATCCCTCGATTCGCGCAACCGCAATTTCGAAACATCGCTCGCCTAAAAATAAGATTCTTCATAAACCACCTTCCGGAATATTGCAATCCATAACGCGTCTCCACCGTCACTCCACCCCCCCCCCCCCCCCCCCCCCCCCCCCCCCACCCCCCCCCCATCAAATACCCTCTCCCAGCCGCCCGCCTGTCAACAATTTCGGTAGCGCCATAAAAATCGAGCACTAAATGCTTTTACCACGAGCTTGAATCTTGACGAAAGTTGGAATATTTTTTTTAAGGTGACGCCACGATTCCTCCGGATCCTATCTCCATCAACAATCAGGTTCGCTCGGTATTTTTTCTTTAGCTCGGAGTTTGGTCCTCGAGTTGCCGAATACGAAAAACTTGGGCGCTTTCCGCGCGACTCGCCACTCAAAAGAAGGCGGGATGGAATGAAAATTAATTGCACGGGGATGGGGCTGCCGACACAAGGGCCACGCGTCTCTTAAGGCGTGCCGGATTTAATGCAAAGCCCTCGGGAAGATCGGGGTGTTGGGGGGTTGGGGGTTGGATGGGGGGTTGGAGGGGGGTGGGTTGCAGAGTGTAACAAGGTTGTCGTCGCGAAAGTATCGTGAGCCAGAAGAAGTCTCTGGTCTTTAGGGTACCCGTACCAAAGTCGGAGTGTAATCGAGCGGGTGTCGGGTGCGAGGGAGCCGGAGCCAGACGACTGAGTGATCGACGCCGGCGTTGCCTATGAAATTTCGACCATTGAAATCGAGATGCCAAAGTGCAGTGAGAAATCTTGTTCAAAGCCCGTAAGCGCGCGTCACGGCTGGTTTGGTGGGCAGGGAGCCGGGCCCACCGTTGGAAAAAAGACGAAGTTGGCCTGGAGCACGAGGAGGGCCTCGTGCTTACTTCATCACGGAGCGTAGGGCTGCTCTCCTCTCGCCGAGTCTTCGCGACTTTGGTGGAAAGAGGACAGAAGTCGCGGCGAGAAGGCGGCGCGCCACTCGAGTCGAGCCGGTCAATACTCCGAATACGGCGGCGGCAGTGGTGGCGGCGTCATCGTTGTCGTCGGCGACGACGCTCGGGCCCCTCTAGTCGCGCCGCCAGACTCGTGCTGCGGCGTGTACCAAGGCAGCGACTGCGCGTGAGCGTTAGAGCGAGAGCAAGAGAGAGAGAGAGAGAGAGAGAGAGAGAGAGAGTGAGAGCGTGAGAAAGAGAGTGAGAGCGAGAGAGAGCGATTGTGCGGCTGTTTCAGGAGGAGAGGGGCGACTGAGCAAGCGAGAGAAGCGCCGCCGCCGCCGTTGCCGCTGCCGCTGCCGCCACCGCCACCACCGACGACGACGACGACGTCGGAACAGCGACGTCTTTCGGGCTCTCAGTGCATGCGTGCGCGTCGTGGTACGAGTCTGAGTGCCCGAGTGTACGTTCAAGCGTTGCGTCCCCTTGGCGTATCTCGCGAGAGTACGAGCATCGGCATCGGTAGCGCGGGCGTAGCGGGAGGAGGAGGAGGAGGTGGTGGTGGAGGTGGAGGAGGTGGAGGAGGAGGAGGAGGAGGACGTGGCCTAGAGCTAGCTTACCCTACTGCAGTATACAGCGACGCGGTTTTCTCTTTGTCCTTCTTTCTCTGGTGCACTACATCTCTGTCCCCGTAAAAGAAAAAGAGGAGCCGACGGTACCGCTGGCGTACGGATGCGCGACCTTAGGTCCGGGCTGGGTCGTGACGGGGGACCCCCGAGGCGCTCGGCCCTGCGTAGAGGTTAAGGACAGCCGGGGCGGAAAGATGGCGAGGTACGAGGGCCGGCGAGTGCCGCGGTCCCTGTAATAACCTTTTGGTATTTCATTTAGCTGCCAGTTATGTAAAAAACTAAAACAATGATTATCTGGCTAAATCGTGTGTGTGTGTGTGTGCGCGCGCGTGTGCGTGCGTGCGTGCGTGCGTGCGTGCGTGTGTGTGTGAAAGAGAAAGAGAGGGACCGAGAGTGCGCGGTGAGCGACAGGCGAGCCAGTTCGCGAGAGAGGGAGCGAGGAGAGAATGCCGGGAGGCAGCGTCGTCATGGGAGCCGACTCCTGGAGGCGGGCGCTCAGAGCCGCGTTCGTCCTCGTCGTCGCCATTGGTGAGTCCTGGCCAGCACTTTTTACGGCCACCTGTATGACATTGGGCCCCTGACCTTGACGCGGGTGGTGGTATAGGGGCGTGGGTGGATGGGGTTGTGGTTGGGGGGGGGGGGGGGGGGGGGGGGGGGGGGGGGGTCGGCGGCGGCGGCAGCGTCAGTCGTGGCGGTGAAGTCGGAGGGTAAGAGCATCCCAGGGAATGGTACACACGCCGCGGTCGAGCGCGAGTCATTTAACGAACAACGTTCGAAGAATAAGAATCTCGCAGCGCGTTGCTAACGATGATGAGGTGCCACGAGCGCGCGCGCTTGCGATCTTCGACACAAACACGCATTACGGGTGGATGGATGATGTTGGTGGTTTTTGTTTGTTTGTTTTTTTGTTTGTTTTTTTTCTGCTGTCCCGGGAGGGTCCGCGTCTTATTAACGATGTTTTCGCTTTTCATTATCTTGTGTGTTGTGTTTACGTTGATCGGTTACTTCTCAGGATTCGAGGCCCGACCGCACGAGCGACTATCGCCACCTCCCCCCGCACGTTCGCGTTCGCATTTGCATTTCGGCTGGGGTTATTGGGGGTACGGGTAAGGTAAGGTTCCTCGAATACCACTCGTTTTGCGCAGAGGCATCGCCAATGCTCGGAAGTACAAATGTTTTATGAGGAGAAATGAGAGACGGGCATGTGTGCATCGCTTACGTTGCTGCGCACGATGCTCACGAATGTTGTGTTTCTTGTTTGCGGTGGGGTTGTACATGTATGACCCAGGGCATTTGAAAAATTTGTAGAACGCTGGAGTTGCCAAGAGTCTCGTAGATATGTTTCGCGTTTTAAGCGCGCGCTTGTATGTAATTATGCGCGCTTGCTTACATTTCATGTCGGTTTCTCGCAAATGGAACTTTAGATTTCCATTATCGTCGAGATTTATAGATGCCAGCCTTACCGCCAAGTTCGTCGTTTTCGTACGAATGTGGGATTTGCATTTTTCGGGAATTCATTATCCAATTGCAGTAAAATTTTAATAATAAGATGTCAAGGAGAGAACGTAATTTACGCTTTAAAGCTGAATTTGGATTGTATTATGGAAATAGACAATAATACGATAGTTTTGCTTAACTTTTCGGGAATAAATTTTCCGTTACCGAGCTCTTAGAGAGGATGAAAATGCGTGGAGCATAAGCAAACTTTTTCTTTTTATTTTCTTTTTTTTTTTTTCTTTTTTATCGTCTTTTTGAAATAACATAACACATTGAAATAATATCTCTTGTTTAATATATATTTTTTTTTATCGAATTTACAATTTTTATTGTCTAATTATTACTTAATCATTGGCTTAAAAGTAAACTCTTGACGGCGCAATTGTAAGACAAAGCATTTTTTTTTAAGTTTACGATAAATTTAAGAGCGATTTAAATTTATTTAGTATTTATCATCCTTAAGACCTGTATTATTTAAAAAGAAATTGTGGATTTAGATTTCCAATTTACATTTAATAACATAGCTCAACAATTGCTTTCTTTCCTTGTACGAGTAGCCCAGCGTTATCATTATTATCATTATTATCATTATTATTATCATTATTATCATTATCATCATCATTATTATTATTATTATTATTATTATTATTATTATTATTATTATTATTATTATTATTATTATTATTATCATTTAAATATAATGTATTTTTATTTTATTTTTAATATTGTTATTGTTGCTATTATATACATACATATCTATATCTATATAAATATTTAGATGTTTTTTTTTCTGTCAAACATGTCGGCCCTATTTTTTCCCGATATCTGTATTTTAGATATTCATAAGCAAATGCATATTATATTACATATTGTATAAACAATTCATATAATATTGTATTTATTCAACATTGTTTTAATATTATTGCGTGGCTGATAGTAAATACAAATAGTAAGTAAATATCATCGGGAATGAAATGTCATATTTAAAGGTTTTGAACAATAAAAAGAGTAATAATTCATACTCTGTAGTTTAGATTCATTTCTCTCCAACAATAATATTTGATTGTGGTACAGATTTCTACAATTTAGCAATTTTCTGCTTGTAATATAAATTCAAATCAATTTATTACCAAAGAATAATCATTTTACACCTCGTGAGGAGATCCTGTCCAATCGTCGCTCTTATTCTTTATTATTATTTATCATTATTTAATATTATTTATTATTATTCGATAAATGACAATATTCAACTAATATAAAATTGCTATTGTAGGTAATAACGCAAATCGCTGGATTCCAATTAAATAGCCGTATGCCTATCATAAAATGACAAATTAAATTTACGTTCAATTTTAAAGAGTAGGATAAATCCTTATTTTTGATTTATCGATTAATCGTACATTTTCGAGATGAAGCACCATTGACGAAATACGCAAACCCATACTGTACATCGCATTCGGATGCATTAACGTTTGTTTTTGTAATATCATTAATAATAATCTTTTTGTGTAATTGATATGTGAATTTATCCAGCTGGAGAGTATCTTAAAGAAAAAAAAGGGTGGAGGTGGAGGAGAGGAGGAGGCGTGGGAAGACCAACAAAAATAAAAATACATTTGTTAAGTTAATGTTTCGTACTAAACTACTTGAAACTTTTGTCGCTTATTATCATACATCATCGTTTCTCATTTTTCATCTATTCTTATTTCTGTCATCATGCGTTTTTATCCTTATTTCTTTGCCTGCTCGTAGTCATTTAGTTTTCTTTGTGCCTTCCCTGGCTTGTGGCACATTTTGTTTGTTTTTGTTTTATGCTTCTTTTTCTTTTCTCTCTTCCCTTTTTTCCTTCTTCTTCAACCGAATCCTTTAAAATTTAAGTTTTTTTTTCCTCACTTTGTAAATAAGATGACCGTATTACATGACATGCCGTTATAATCGGTAGCTTTAGCTCGCCCATTCTTCGTTGAGATGATATCCTGCGCCAAGGATAAAACGTACCTTTAGTACTACATAAAAATTTATATACGAATTTTTCTCAGTAAAAAATCGATGTTTATTTAACGAATGCCTGTTGTATCAAAAATTAAGACTCAAATAATGTCATAATATACCCAAGTTTCGACAAGAATTCTCCCAGCATGTTTCTTTAATATTAGGATAAATTATGAAATAAAAAGTATTTGTACATATACAGATACAAGTTTTATGTTACGCGAATTCGCGTTCAGTAACCGACAGAGTCACCGCTTATCGTATACCTTCTTCACTTCTTTTTTGCCTCACGTCTCTATTTTTTACATTTCGTTCCGAATTTTTTTACCTCGTTGGTCACTTATAGCCTTTTTCTTCTTCATATCTTCGTTTTCTTTTTTTATTATTGTCTCGTTAGGTTGCCTTTATAAATTGTGGCCCGTGAAAATGTTTATTTTTTTTCAGATTATTTTTTTTTACAAATAACAACTTTAACGTTGCTATTTCATTAAATACGCTTGTCCTTTGTTACGGAATAATTTTAGTTCACAAGCACAGTGGCGTAGGAACAATTTAAAAACTTTTTGTTTTTCATTATGTTTTTTGTTTTTATCAATGGAAATCATATTTCGTTTGGTTTTATACGTGATTTATTAATGATGCTGTCGTTAAAGATTTACAACTTATATAAATTGTTATCTTTACGTTTGCAATCATAACGTTGAAAATCATCTAAAAATAAATAGTAAACTAAAGATATATGCATGTAAAGATAAATGATGTTAAATCGTTGAGGAGTGCTCGATCAATTTTTCATACTAAAGATTCTTGGTAACATTGGAAAGATCGTGCAGTCAAAGTTCTTTGTCGTTAATACGTAGAATTCTAATTTACGGTAAAGATTTACCGCAATTAGGTATTAAACTAAACGTTAAAAGTCGATTGTTGAAGCGAAATATCATTCGATGAAATCTTTGAGAGGCCTGGCAAACGTCAGATTACATTATATTCCTGTGAGAAGTATAAATATCATATTATGGGAGAAGATTTTATCTGGCGAATTTTCCCGAAATTTTCTTTACAATCATGACAAATAAGAGACTCGATGTATCAGTACATTGCGACATTACTGGACATTGAGTATAGTTATTTTGTTATTTGTCATTGCCAAAAAAGCAACGACGTGTGTATTCTCTCCTCGGCCAGTTGCGATTGCTCCAAGATAGCGAACATTTAATCTTTTCATCGAAAAACATCCTATAAATCAGAATCCGTTAAATCACGATAATAGAGCAGCAAATCATAATTATAGAATTGCGTTACACTTTCCTTACTTCTTGACTTAATCTCTTCAGATAATCTAGAATTTTACTTCATTTATCATTATTCGTTATATCACCGCTTATTAAATCTATAAATAAAAAAACTAAAAATTATTATACAACATTGTTTCATCTGCGCAGACATTGTTCGAGAGAAAATATTTCTATGACATTTTTTCATTATTAGCTCGAGCGTTGGCGGTTTCTTTTTCATCTAAAAAATTGTAGGATTATCGAAAATTATCGCTTTATCGCTATTAGCACGAAGTTTATGAACGGTAGCTTATTAATTTTTTTTTTTTTTTTTTTTTTTTTTTTTTTTGTATGCAATTATTACGATGTCATATTGCCAGTTTTTTTTTATCAAAACTAAAAAACAAAAACAAAAAAAAAAACAAAAAAAAAAAACAAAATCAAAAAAGAATTATCAATACAGTTAAATTTGTAATCCATGTATTTAGATTACACGCTTGCAATCCTGATATCGATAGTTATTTTTTGATGAATCTAATGTACAATCTGTAGGTAATTAATGTAAAATCACATTTTACAGCCTGTAACGGCTACAACAGGTAAAAGTAACGAAACGTTATAATATCCGATTATCTTGAAAAAAGGCTTTTTAACAGAAATGATAAAAGTTATTTGTAAAAGGGGGAACAACAATGCTTTCTAACTCCAAGGAAGTTTTTATTTTCTCAAAAAGTCTTACAGCTGTCTGTACGAAATTGTGCATTA